TAGTTAAAATACCTCATCTCAGAAAGATAGACAGATCCTGAAGAAGGCTGGATCGTATGACGGCTGAAATGTCGAGAATTTGACAATAAAGATGAGAACTGTCTGAACAATGTAAATAGTATAAATAGTTACAAGACCTCATCACAGGAATATAGACAGATGAGAAATATTTTATAAATTTCAACTGAAAAGAGTACTGGCTACTTGGTCAATGAATGCCAAATGTTTCCTTATAAGGAAATGTTATTATTAGGATTACCATCGTTTAGCTTTTTGAAGGCAGCTCTCGCTATTCCTATAAGGCTTCGGATTTCTGTACCACATTTTCCGGCACTTGACAGATAGTTAAATTTCCTTACTCGCTTGAATCTGACGTACCAAGTTCATAGCACGTATCTTCGGATGTCTCTTTTGCTAATGATCTCACACTCTGTCTTACAATTGATGGGTAATTCGTACACTTGTCAGACATTCACCTTTTCGTGAAATAGAATCTTCTGTTTCCTGTCACGTTTTTCCCATGTGTGTTGTCATCAATTGATTCTTCGAAGATCCTATCAAGACGTCTTCGGATTTCGGATAATACCGTAAATGAACAAGCCGCTAATGTGGCCGAGTTGACTCTTTTGAAATATTTCCGAGGAGAAACTCATCCACTTCCGCCATTTTAGAGATTAATACAGTTTACGAAGAGGTCCTGGAATTTTCACCTTTGTTAAAAATAATGTCAGAATGCAAAGCAGATGGATTCTTTAGACATTGTAATGGATTAAAGAGAAAATACAAGAACTGATACAATTAAGTCATCAGCATTTTTCTGGATATATTGCATCTGTCTATCGGTTCATATCTATTATGTTCATATCTACTTATCTATATATCCAGTTAGTGTTCTCATATTCATCTATCTATCTATCTATCTATCTATCTATCTATCTATCTATCTATCCAGTTAGTGTTCTCATATCTATCTATCTATCTATCTATCTATCTATCTATCTATCTATCTATCTATCATGTTCATATCTATCTATCTATCTATCTATCTATCTATCTATCCAGTTAGTGTTCTCATATCTATCTATCTATCTATCTATCTATCTATCTATCTATCTATCTATCATATCTACATGTTCATCTATCTATCTATCTATTATCTTCTATCTATCTATCTAACTATCTATCTCAAATATTCACCTATCTATCTATCTTCTAGTCTGTCTACTCAAATCTATTCTATCTATCTATCTATCTATCTATCTATCTATTCTATCTATCTATTGTTCATATCTATCTATCTATCTATCTATCTATCTATCTATCTCATGTTCATATCTATCTATCTATCTATCTATCTATCTATCTATTTCAAATGTTCATATCTATCTATCTATCTATCTATCTCAAATTGTTCATATCTATCTATCTATCTATCTATCTATCTCAAACTGTTCATTCTATCTATCTATCTATCTATCTATCTTTTTTGATTTCAAATCTATCTATCTATCTATCTATCTATCTATCTATCTATCTATCTATCTCAAACTGTTCATATCTATCTATCTATCTATCTATCTATCTATCTATCTATCTATCTATCTATCTCAAAATATTATCATCTATCTATCTATCTATCTATCTATCTATCTATCTCAAATTGTTCATATCTATCTATCTATCTAAACTGTCATATCTATCTATCTATCTATCAAACTGTTCATATCTTCATATCTATATATCTATCTATCTATCTATCTATCTCAAACTGTTCATATCTATCTATCTATCTATCTATCTATCTATCTCAAACTATTTCATATCTATCTATCTATCTATCATATCTATCTATCTATCTATCTCAAACAGTATCTATCTATCTATCTATCTATCTATCTATCATATCATCTATCTATCTATCTATCTCATTCATATCTATCTATCTATCTATCTATCTATCTATCTATCTATCTATCTATCTATCTATCTCAAAAATGTTCTCAAACTATTCACAAGATCTATCTATCTATCTATCTATCTATCTCAAACTGTTCATATCTATCTATCTATCTAATATATGTTTCTCTGTCTGTCTAGTCTATCTATCTAGTTTGATCATATCTATCTATGTATTTTTCCTATCTATTTATTATATTCATATCTATCTATCTGTCTGTCCAGTCTCATCCTATCTATCTATCTATCTATCTATCTATCTATCTATCTATCTATCTATCTAGTCGGTTCATATACCTATCTGCTTAACTATTATGTCCATATCTATCTCTCTGTCCGTCGAATCTGTACATATCTGTCTATCTAGTTTGTTCATATCTATCTGTCTCGTGTATTCATATCGAGCAGTTCCATTTCGCGAAAGGTAAGTCAGTAACACTATTAACATCATAGACGGAAATTAATAATTTTTATTGATTAAACATATAATTGTAATATAACAGGCTTTTCTCAACATAGCCATTTTTACAGATTTAAGTTGAATATTTATTGACTTACAGAAAAATAACCAATAGGTTTGAAGTAAAAATTTGACTTGCCCCGAATAAGCAGCAATTTCAACTGACTGTTGGATTCTGTACGTATTGTTCGACTTTAATGTTTCCTCCCCACAAATTTACTGCATACTTCGACGAGAAAGATGATGTTATACTATTTAAAATGTGCATTTCTAAAAAAAACATATTTCGATTCGCACTTAATTTTTCGTGTCCGCTATTACCTGGATCTACTAAAAACAAAGTAATTTCCATGTCTGAGGAGAGAGAGAGAGAGAGGGAGAAGAGAGAGAGAGGGAAAGAAAGAGAGAGAGAGAGAGAGGAAAAAATTTGTTCAGAGAAATTTCGGGATGCATAATAGAGAGAGAGAGACAGAGAAAAGAGAGATATAGAGATATATATATATTTATATCAGTTATATATAAAGGCATTTGTTCACATGCATATTAATAAATTTCAGAATTTTGTAATATTTTTCGGAGTTTTCGCTCACACACAAACTTTTATTCATATATATATATATATATATATATATATATATATATATATATATATATATCATTAAAACATAGATATATATATTAGAAACTTTCATTATTCTGTAATCACAGCTTTATAAATATAAAAGCCTTAACTAAAACAAATTTTATATACATTTTATTTTGTAAAGATATATTTTATTAAAAAATAGTAATAAACTTAATTAATTCTTATTCTAACAGAAAATTAATGCATTTTTTTACATTTTAACTTTTATGAAAAAAATTAGTATTCTAACAGTACAAAACAAAAAAACAAATAAAAAAAAAGCATATTAACTTAATTTAATACTTTGTGGAATATCCTTTATTGAGTTCAACAGCTACCAGTCTATTCCTGTACGTCTCAACTAATGATTTGCACACATTAAGTGGTATTTTGTCCCATTCTTCTTGGCATATTGTCTTCAAATTCTTGATATTTGTTGGTGCTCTTTTCCCAATTTGAATTTTCAAATATCGCCATAAATTCTCGATTGGGTTCAAGTCTGGTGACTGACTTGGCCATTGCAAGACATCAACGTTACTTTCAGCTAACCATTTCCTTGTAGATCTAGCGGTATGCTTAGGATCATTATCCAGTTGGAAAACCCAATCCGGAGATAGCCGAAGTCTCTCAACAGAACGCATTAAATTGTCATGCAGGATTTTCTGGTATCTTTCGGCATTCATCTTGCCATCTATTATTGATATTCTGCCAAATCCTTTTGCAGAAAAACAGCCTCAGATCATGATACTGCCACCACCAAACTTTACAGTTAGCAACGTGTTCTTTGGTAAGTAGGCTTCACCGTCCTTCCTCCACACATGATTTCGATAATTATGACCAAACAACTCTATTTTAGTTTCATCTGTCCATAGTACTTTTTTCCAAAACAAATATTCTTTATCCTTATGCTCTCTAACGAATTTTAGCCTAGCATCTCTGTGTCGTTTCAAGAGGAGTGGAGTTTTCCTTGGGATGCGTGATTTCAGACTGTTTTTGTGTAGTTCATTACTTATTGTACGCTCGGTATCTTTAATCTCTAATGCACGCAGATGTTCCTGCAGCTCTTCTCGGGTAACCGGTGGATTTTGTTGGATCTGGCGTCCTAATATCCTTGCTGATCTAAGAGAAATCTTCCTCGGAGCACCTGTTTGTTTTCGACGCTGTTACGAGTTTTAAACCTTGCAATGAACGAAGCAATTGTAGTAAAAGGAATATTCAGGTTGTTAGAAATCGTTCTGTAACTATTTCTATCTTTCCAAAGAGACAAAATGTGTTGTTTTTGTGAAATAGTCAATTCTTTACCTTTAGGCATTATTAGAACCTTCTTGTAAGACTAGAAATTGCAGAATGCTCTGATAATGGCTAATAGCGTTAACTATAATTACTGATAACATTACTGGAACATTCTAGAATATACTTTTTTCATAATTAATTGATTATTTTATTCTAATAATTGATATGTACGAATACTTTTTTCACGAGTTAGAATTAAAAAAATGCATTAATTTATGTTAGAATAAGAATTAATTAAGTTTATTATTATTTTTTAATAGTATGTGTCTTTATACATAAAATGTGCCGAGATTTGTTTTATTTAAAAAATTTGCTTTTACATTTATAAAAATACAATTTTTCAAGTGTACGAATATTTATTTCCCCACTGTATATATATATATATATATATATATATATATATATATATATCAAATATTAATGGGAAATACTAAGTGAAAATATTCAATAATTCAAAAAATCAAGAAAAAGGGAGACAAATCTGTTTAATATGATCCATAAAGAGAATTTTTTTGACTAAATGAGAATGTTACATCTAAAATGTCTTTCTCTCTCTTTCTCTCTAAATTATATATATATTTATTCTCCCCCATATATCTCTCTATCTTATATCTGCACATCTATATTCATCTATCTATCTATCTATCTATCTATCTATCTATCTAATCTTTTTAACTCTCTTATTATATATATATATATATATATATATTATTGACAACACACATATATATATATATATATATATATATATATATATACATATTTTCATTAATTAAATTATTTATTCTTTTAATTTCTCTCTTTTTTTTAATCATTCCCTCTCTCCCACTCTATCTATCTATCTCAGTCTGCCATATTTTGTTATATATCTTTTCTATCTATCTCTTGGTATATATATATATATATATATATATATGTTATAAATAATTAAACAAACAAAATCCATAAATGTAGTTAAAATAACTTTCATTTTTTGATAACATTTATGGATTTTTTAATTTTCTTTTTACAAATTCCTCTAAATTCTGTCAATTTATATCCATTTACACTTTTGTGGTTCATATATATATATATGTATGCATACATACACACACACACATATATAATATTTATATACATATATATATATATATATATATACATATTAAAATTTCATTTCCTCTCTCTTTTTCTATCTTTCATTATATCTTTCCATCTCCATACAATTTCTATAATATTCTCTATTATTACAGTCTGCATATCTATCTATCTATCTATCTATCTATCTATCTATCTATCTATCTATCTCCTTCTCTCTCTCTCTCTCTCAGAGACACACACACACAAACAAAAATATATATATATATATATATATATATATATATATATATATATATATATAGAATTCAAGAGAAAGAGAGAGAATAGGAGATAGAAACAGAGGTAGAAATAGATCTTGAGAAAGAGACAAATTAAACAAAATATTTTTCACCAAACTTTCTTATTATATATATGTTGCCGCCCTTCTTTTTGAAAATGTTTTAATCTGAATTGATTGTAAGAAGAATGTAAAAATTTTTTAGCAGCCCATTTTTAATTTTTTCAATCAATGCTTAGTTTGTCGCTTAGCGCAATTAACACTTCGTGCCCCCAATAGAGCAATTTCAAAAGAAGTTCAAATGATGGGGCCCCTAAAATATTTGAGGGGGTCAATGGAGTTCAACTTATGGATCACGCCGACTAATGATTTTGTTTTGATGTGAGTTGATCGCCGATGACCGAATCAACAAGGTCAATGCAAAGGGAAAGTGGAAGGTCAATATGGCAGATGGCTTTCGCCAAGGCAAGGTTTTAACGCGGGGGTGGTGCGCAAAAATCCGGAAGGCAAATTTAGGGCCGGAGATCGGCGCTTGAAGTGGAGGTGGAATCGCTGGGGTTCGACAGCTTCGGAACATTTATTGCCTTCACCTATCGGACGAGGCAGGCTACCTCTTGATTGATGTGGAGAGATAGTTATATTTGCCCAGAGGATTTTAATCTAGAATCAAAATTTTCATCGAGTCAGAAATAAATCACTGATTTCATTCTCCAGTGAGCATAATAAAAAAGAAATTATAATTTGGAGAACACGGCAATTGCAAAAAACTTCACCCCATCGTCATCTCCCTTTTCTCTGATACAAATACAAATGTTTGCATGTTGTTCTCATATATGTAAGCGAGCATGGCCTTCCAAGTTTAAAATCATTGTCTGTCTCTTTGTAGCTCTTAAAAGGTTTTTCCTTTTTGTTATTTCTCCTAAACCCTGTTCTACCATTCATTTACTCTAGCTCATCAAATATATTACGATTTGCATTCATGTGTTCCTCTTTCCCTGAATTTGTCTTGTGAGAAAAAAACATATTTTCCAAGCCCTCCTTTCGAATTACGATGGAAAATTTCATGGATCTTCCTGATATTATGTTTCCTTTTTGATATCCATTTTCTCCAAAACCTCGTTTTGGCTTATATATTTTTAATCCACGGCATACTCATTTTTTCATGAAGAAAATTTCTGACAGAACCATATCTTTCTGTTGTTTCAAATCTCTTTTTTTCTTCTTCAGGATTGATGTCCAGTATTCGTTGCAATATTTGGACAGACATCACGTACCTGTTCAATACTGTTTTCTTTTTATTCTAACGAAAATTTTTCGGTCTCTTAATACTCAAAATTTAAAAAAATGCATCTTTCGCCATCCAAATACGTTTTTTATACCTCAGGGTGAATTTTTATCCGCTTACTACATCTCAATTTTCATAAAAAACATTATTTATGTAAAATACAATTTTTTTTTAATTTGTATAATTTATTTATGTACAACAAATAAAAAGCACGGCCCATTTTGCCCGTGCTTGATTCAAAATCGTATAATACTCAATACAGCAAAACAAATCCTTGACTTAAAATATTTTGCCCTTCCTTGCCTTTTTTAAACGAGTGCCCTTTGCCGTGCTGATGTTGCTAATTTGCCTTACTTCTTGCCTATCTCACACTGCGATTTTTTTCTAAGCTCTATACTAAAATTAAATCTGTTACGAAAAAAAGAACTAAACAAAATGAACACAAAACGATCAAAAATAAAAAAAAAAACTCGTAACTGAAAAAAATAATGAAAAAGAATGTTAACAACAAATACTTTTTTAAACACCCAACCCAGTTTTAAAAGGAATCAGAATCAACGTTGAGTTTAAGCAAAAAATAAGCCAATTGGAGTAAAATGCCATGCAGATTTAAATTTTTCCCACTTCTTACGAATGCATGTATCAATTTTTTTTTTTGCATGCTAGCATGCTAATTAACATTCGTATCAGTCATTATGAAGTTGGCTCTCAAGAAGAAGAATAGAATCTTCCTGCCTATTCGTGGCAGCCAGCTATAAAAACTCACTCTGGCCAGTATAAAATGGCCGCAAACTACATGAAAACTGCCGTAGAAAAAATGAAAAAATCGATTAAAAGACTATCGAAAATAAAAAGTTGGACTTATATGCCGCTAACTTGGAGCATGTGCATGTAAATTTTGGTGCCAATCTGTCGAAAAAATTGCGGCCGTGCATTCGTTACACACACACACACACACATCCTGCCTTTTATAGATGAGATTATAACACGCGTTGAAAAAGTTCAAGTGACTTTTCTTAATTTATTAAATATAGCTGTAATTAAATCTGTACGTACTGTACCACTCAGCCTGAAGTCGGGCGACTTTTTTATCGGTGATCCATTGGAACTCTCTGCCTTCAATAGGGGAGGAACCAAACGAAGCTACGCCGAAGGGCGGAGTTTTTTAAAAAAATTTTAAATAAACCGACCCTGAACCCGTTTATAAAAAATATTTTTTAAAGCCCACGGACTCGGAAAGCCCAATTAAACCGGCCTTTTGCCACATGAACTTTTACTCGTGTGTTCGGGGGTGACTAAAAACCGTTATTTATAAAATTTGCACTGCGGGCTTCAAAATTTGTAATGTGAAATATTCGTGTCGCTGGCATATTTGATCTGAAAATGTTTTTGGCGGACTAGAATAAGACAAATAATTTGAACAAAAAAAAGAATGACATTTTAATAAAGGATAAATGATTAAAATGAATTTAAATGAAGTTAAAAAATTTAAGCCACTTCCAGTGTCTGTAGTTGAGGTTCAAACATTTTGCGGGAGCGCTAAGAATACCCTTTCCCTATAAAAATTCACCAAGAAAGACATCGATTCTTTCAAATACCGCGGCGCCTGTAATTATCATCAGGGGGCTGTAATCCAACTAGCGCAACCCTGAAATTAAAAATAACATGAAATTATCGTAATTTCACGTATTTTCTCAGCCGTATTATTATTACTATTATTGTAACGTTAGATTTAGGATATACAGGGTGTCCATAAAATTTATAACTTTATTTGTATTTGCGATAGAAATAATTTGTAAAAAGGATTAGAAAGAAGTAAATCTATGTTTTCTAAGGTTTTATTGAAATTTAATTTAAGTTTCCACATGTCTTCCATCATTAGCAATACAAAGGGTAATATGATTTTGCAGTTTACGGAAAACATTTTTCAACTGATTTACGCAGTAATGCCTGAAACCACATTAGTTATTTTAGCTATACTTAAAACTAGGTACATTAAACTTTATAACATTTTTTACAGATTATTGCTATCGCAAATACAAATAAAGTTATAAATTTTTTAAGGTGCACATGAACTTTAGGGACACCCTGCATTATTATATCCTTAGATTTCTGTCGTATACACATTTTCTTCTGGGTCCCAACCAGAGACGTAATGTAAAAAAAACAAAAAACAAAGAAAACAAAAAGAAAAGCTTGTAAAAAGCAAAAATAAAAATAAAAATAAATAAAAATAAAAGAATAAACCTAAGATCCCACGAAATTTACATAGCTAAACCTCTTTGTAAAGTGTGCGCTGTACTTGTGAGTACATTTTTTTTTGTGTTTCCTTAAGGCATTTTCTATCAGGAATCCCTTCAATGAGTTTATCGGACTCTTTTCAAATCAATCCTCGGGTTTCAACTACAACTGGAATTATTGATGTCTTCATGTGCCATATATTGGAGATTTCCACCTCAGGATTTTTGTATTTTGATATATTTTTTTTTTTTTTTTATGTTCTACAGTACAATCTGCAGGGACTGCAACAAGAAAGCACATTCTGATTTGTGACCTTTGATCCCGACGTCAGGGCGATTAGCTTTGATTGTTCTGTCTCTGTGTATTATAAAATCTCATAGAATTACTCTAGGTCCTCCCTCTGTAACCAGGTCTGGGTGCTGCACGTACCAGTTTTCTTGCAATTTCCTTCCCGTAAACATTGCACATTTTCCTGTGCAGGTCATGCCGAGTTTTATAGTCAGTGGATGCTAACACCGTACAACCTGATGTTCAAATGTTTCTGCATATTTATCAGAGAATCTGCGTTTGGAGTAAGCTCAATTTTTCTGTATGTGAATGTAATGAACTCAAGTGGAATTCCGAGCTTCTAACCATTACTCCACTATGTTTGCACATACACACATAGTTATATATATATATATATAATGTTTGTCTACTATTAGTTTTAGGAAGTATTTTCCGAAAAAAAAAAAAAAAAAAAAAAAAGAAAAATTACCCATACAAAAATAATTACAAATTGCA